CGTGGGCATCTGAGCCCCGTCATCAGTGGTGTCAGGAGTGAGACCACGGCCCCTTCTCACCAGGGCCCCGGGCGGGGCACAGAGAAAGCAAGAGCCACCTCTTGCTGGAGTGAGCAGAGGTCGGGCTCGAGCTGCAGCCCGTGTCTTGTGGCCAGGGTCCTTCCCCTGCTCTCTGGGAGGGATTTCTTTGGAAGCCCCGCTCTCGTCACAGAGTCTCTCATTTCTCCTCCTGTGCTCTTCAGAAGCCAGAAGGAACTTTGAGAAGATGGCAAGGCCAGGCTGCGCCCGGGTGTCTGTTGCCAGACTGCTGGGCGGGGGTCTGGGGCAACCCTGGGCGCTGGGAGATGGTCTCTCGTGTGGGCAGCCTTGCTGCCTCCCTACAGCACCCAGTTCCTTCTGTCCCAAGATTTAACAGTTTTTAAAACGATGGGATCAGCTCCTGAGGTGATCCCTGAGCTGGAAAGTAGCAGCTGAACGTGTGGGTCTTACAGACGTGTAGTGGCAGCATGGGACCCACCCGGTCAGCTGGTCCTGGCCCAAAAGGGGCCTTTGGAGAAGGTTTTATGGAAGTGTGTGTGTCACAGGCCTCCCCACCGTCCCCACGACGTGCCTGGAACCTGTGGCACGTAGATGCTGGAGAGACCCCTTGTCACCAGCCCCGGGCAAGGAGTCACTGCACCTCTGTCACCAGCTTCACCACGGGTCTGGAGGGTGCCCAAATTCCTTAAGCGGGCACTTGTGGGGTCCCTGCTGCCCTGGCTCTCCCCGGTGCTGTGGGGCCAGTGCTGAGCCAGCTGCCTGGCCCTCCTCCAGAGGCCGTGTGGGGCAACGCCCGGTGAGTGACGGGAGGAATGCCACCGGGTGAGCCGGGCGGGCACGGGAGAGCCCTGTCCTGGCAGCTGGGTTTGACAGCACGGCCTCTGCCACGGCAGGACAGTGTGAGGTGACACTGGGGGGATGCACCCGCCCGTCCCCCTCGCTGTGATGTCAGGGGGGTCTTGGCACAAACCCGGCCAGGCCAGGCCCGGGAGAAGCAGTGGTGAGGGAGCAGCCAGGGAAGGGACATGGGGGCGGGCACGGGAGAGCCCTGTCCTGGCAGCTGGGTTTGACAGCACGGCCTCTGCCACGGCAGGACAGTGTGAGGTGACACTGGGGGGATGCACCCGCCCGTCCCCCTCGCTGTGATGTCAGGGGGGTCTTGGCACAAACCCGGCCAGGCCAGGCCCGGGAGAAGCAGTGGTGAGGGAGCAGCCAGGGAAGGGACATGGGGTCA